TGTCGTTAAGACTTCCCCTTAAGGCCACCTGCCACCCACGTGTTCAGGAAACACGCGTAGGAGGATTTAGTAAACTTTGAGTTTCAGTGGCTAGCGGTGAAATAATACGAGTTCATATAAAGGTGCGCAATTTTTATATATTTCCCATCATATCCCCAAGCCCAGGGCGACAGCGAGTATAGTGTAGCGTAAAAGCAATCTAATAATATTCCTGTTTGCACTACTGAACCTATTGCCTACAGTAGTAGGCTTTCGACGCACCGTTATAACCACCGATCTAACCGAATTCGTTTCTTAGTTTAATTTTAAAGTAATAAAAAAGACATGGGGAATATAAAATTAATTGTGTCAGGCAGACATCTTGTGTAACTTTTGGAATAGCTGCTTTGGTGAAATGGAGCATTCAGTAAAACCAGATAAGCAATAGCTAACGTAGTCCTCGTAGGGAAATGTTAACACAGGTAGTACCGCTAATTTAAACCTGGTCAGTCTCGTCTAGGATCCATTTCGCATATGCCTCGGTTCAATTCCTTTAGGTTTTTTGGCTCCAAATAGTCAAAATAAAATTTCGTTCAGACAAAATCAATATCCGTCTTTGTCGTGTTTGGTCATTAAACAAGAACGAATGCGAACACACCCTGGCACGCACGAATCCCACCTTCTATTTGGGATCCATGAACGAGACCCCGAGGAGCATGCTGAGTGCCGTTTTAGCCGGTAGGCCTAACAGGGCATGCTTTGCGTCAGACTATATGTGTATTGAGAGACCTTGATAGTTAATTAGAAAAAACGCACACTTGAAGTAGGTGTGAGCCAGGTGAAAGAGGGTGATAAGCTTACGCGATCGACGTGGGGTGGTGTGCATGGCTGATTGGAACCAAAAACGACTGAATCAGAGAATCTTTAATGTTAGCTATGCAAAGATCATAGTTTTAGACAATTCTGATTTCTCCAGCTGCCTTAAATGAGGGTTCCATTGCGGCTGGTCTGATTCATATGACAATTTCTACTTAAACGTGTGTTTGGAGTTAGTTTTCAGTAGCAGTTTCACCTAACGCAGTAAACCATGCCTAGGAGTGCCATTTGCTCATTCCATGAATCCTTACCCAAGGCACTAAAATGGTGACATTATTGGGTTTTATTGGAAATGGGAAATTCATTACTACTAGGGTTAAGGGCGATAAAGCTGTGATGAGTGACTGTGCTGCTGTCGAAAATTATGCGCAATCTGGAGACTCATCACTGTTGCTGGGTGCTAGGAAACAATTAATGCATTCTGGTAGTGACTTCGAACTTCAGCTCATGAGCTTGTTAGTCCTGCGTGTGCAATTTCGCGAACGGTAGTAAAGAATAAATTTTAGTGATGAGTCACATGAAGAAAGCTTTCCGCGAAGTACCCGTGGTGGTGACAGGCGAACTTCCTTTGATAGAGGTGAGCACACACTATTCCATTTTTGGATGCGTTGAGTGAATAAAAGTCAATGGTTGAAAGCAAAATTAGGCATGTGTTTGATTAACGTAAGAACTGTAAAGTTCAGTTACAAGGGCAACCTTTATCAAAGGCAGACAAATGCTTTGTGTGGGTGTGTGCTATGAATCACCAAGGCTTAGCATGAGCTGGCGCACAGAAGCAACAGCCCTGCATCCAGCGGAGTGGAGACGTTAATGGGCGAGTCGCTTGGGCCAGTGGGTGCCACCGTGTGGCGAGATGCCAAGGTGAGTGGAATGGTTCTTTCATTTAAACTCACAGTCAATTATGAACACGAAGGACCGTTTTTTCCTCGCATAACTGAGCATGGGTTCATGGAGCCAAAATGCGACCTTTAATAATACATTTTTTTTGGGATGAGTTCTTTGTCGAGTGAACTGACTGTTGAGGCTGTGTCTTAGATAAGCGTTGGTGCTGCTGCCAACCAATTCCGAAAAGTCTCCAGCAAGATGTTAGTTTGAAAATGCGTGGCTTTCAAAAGTGTTTTATTTGTTTCCACAACTGAAGTCGAATGAAGAATAATGTCGATCATAAAGAGAGCTTGACTGTTCTCCACCATAAGTTTTTCAGACGCAGTTTCCGTAGATGTTTCATAACTTAATCAAGTTCACGATTGTCAGTCGTAACACCAAATTTGAGATTGGCAGATGTCTTTAGAGCCACTAGGAGGAGTAAAGGGAGAATGAAACAGACACATGACGCGGCGACCTCTACAATTAACCGCTACTTCACACCAACTACTGAACTATTTATAGAATGTTTTGCGCTAAGTGACTGTAAAAGCTCATGCTCCATTTAAAATCAAATTAAATACAAGAGCTCATTAAAAGTGTATCATTCGGTAATGTCCCTTCCATTATTTCCTACAAGTATCTCTCGAAGTTATACACGTTTCTGAGTGGCTTCTTTCTAGTAACAGCATGAGTCCTCTTCAAAAAATTCGTAGGATCGTTTTTAACGTCTTCCATAGAAAAAAATGTATTACCACTCAAGGTAATTTGCAGCGAACAAAAATTATGCAAACATGGGAGAATTAAGGTCAGAGTGTTGTTGATCGCATTTGTCGACGTTAGCTCATTTGTGACTCACACATCTGAGGTATAAATGCGCTAGCGCAGACTCCATACTTAACACAACGACACCAACTCGGTTGAGCTCTGAAGTAAACGGTTGTGTCTACGTCCTCTCCTGTCTTTTTCTCCCCCGAGGGTATCAGGGAAGCTTAACCGGGCCAGAGTTAATTCAGTGGCCCCGGCGTGATTCAAGAGAACACACTGGGACAACAACAAGAAGATTGAAATAAATCAGACATTTTGCTTGTGCTTCAATATTGAGTTAGGTGAATTGCTCACGGTAATAATTCGACAGTGTTTTTTGGTCTCATGCGAGACTTCGAACAACACTTCCATCTGATGTGATTTAGTCTTTGTCATAGATTCTGTTCTTCCATTTCTGTGATTCTAGCTTCTTTATCTTGTAATGCTGTTGCGCACAATATATTTTTCGTAATTAGCTATGATGTGATGGAAGAATAGATCCTTGAAATCGATTGACCCACTTCTAAACCATCCAAAGAACCACACTGGATATGTCTTTTTATAGTCGGAACATTTATCTCCTTCTTGATCTCAAACCAAATAGCATCGAAAATGTAGCTGCTTGTTTTCCAATTGAAAAATTAAGCCTAAGCATAAATTAGGTCAAGTAAACTATTTGTTGGGGTTATATTGACGCACAGTGCATATAGATAGCTGCCAATGAGGAATATGACTTTATTGAAACCATTAACACAGTCAAAAGTGCAGACTTCAGTCATTTAAGAAGACCTGGCAAGAACTTTTGCACAAGCCCAATAGTAATGTTACTTAAGAAAAACTAGGTGTGGAATGCCTAAACCCGGGTTTGAAAAACAGTAAAACAGAACAGGTTTGATCGCCCTTCTAGTGACGGAGTCACAAGCTTGAATGAAGGACGTAGAGCTGCGCTGCTATTGTTACTTCATCAAATTTGTGCGCGATGCCACTGTCGTTAAAAAGTACTCAACATTTTGCCTTCAAAACATTGACAAATGAACATGATTTGCCTTAGTTCAAGTGAAGTATAAATTAAATTGTGGAATTTTCATGTCTCGTCCTATGAACTTACATACGCTAAGTAGAAAAAATCGAACTGCCTTCTGGATGAAATCCTTAAATAAATTGAGTGAACGTTATCAAAACCATAGCTATTATTGGTGAACCGTAATGACTTCGTTGGCGCTACCATACAACCCTGCTAGTCGACAATCCGTAATAGCCCAAGAAAGACAAGACAAATGATAGCAAAATGACGATTTGTTTACATTTGACCACGCAAGTCCTTTTATAGCAGATCGCGTGAGTGAATATCGAACGTCAACTGTAATCGATAATAGATGGCATTCAATGAACTCATGAACAAGCTTCACTCGCGCTCGTTTGATGAAAGTTCAAAACAGAACCATGCTGTTAAAAATCGCTGTGAAGAAACGCTCATATTGGAATAATGGGCCGGCTTCATGAGGTGGTGGTTCATCCGTACGCTGTCTGAAAATAGAATATGTCTGGGGTTGAGGCTTTCTTTCTGCATCAAGGGTATGGATAATTTGTCGGTGGTTGAGTCTCACATAATGTAAAGCAGTTGAATTCTCCTCGAAAAAAGGATGGTTTATTTCATCACTGAGTAACAGAATTAACCTCACTAAATTAAGTGCCCTATTTGGATACTTAAGATTCGATTAAATTTACACAAAACGGGTGCTTTTCAAAAAATGCCTTCTCACAGGAAAGCTGTTTGTGTTAACTTATCCACTCTGGAAACCCTAATTACGCAGAGCATTAAAACTTCTAAAAAGTGATTTTCTAAGTGGCAACATGAAACGAGGTCTGGGTATGTTCTGGGAAACCGAATTTTACTGTAACACTTGAAAATTTACGCTTAATTAAATATTTGACAATTCAAATTTGTCGCGTGATAACAAAACTGAACAAGCCTGGACGTGTTCGAACAAACAACTACTTTTTGCTATTACACTAGGATGGGGCAGTGAATGCGAAGCATTAAATACGCGGCTGTACAGCGTGTAGGGAACGAAGGGTCGAATTTTGTTTTCAGGGCAAAGACAGGGCCACAACGTCGTGCAGAGTGATTTTACAGCCTCAGCCAATAGTTGCATAACACGCCCAAACGCTCCCATGTATATGCTCCCTAAATGAGATCGATGGAAATTTAGATGGATAAAGCATTTGCAGGTGAATAAACCAATATAATAGGAGCGGTGAACTTGACTAAAAAAATGTGCATGAATGCAAATTAAACAAAGGTGCAGAGTTTTAGGGATGTAAATTTCTCCAACAAATGGCTGCTGCTTGTGGAGAGTTTATTCCTTTAAAGCTAAAAGTCAATAGTTTGACAAAACCACCTCTGGAAATACGGTGGTGAGGTTAAAGTGAGTGACGAAGGGATGGAACAATTACTCGAGCGGCTAGTGTCAATGCTTGCAGATCGCCAGTCATCTCAGGCCGCTCCCGCCAGTACGCCGTCAGTTGACGGCCTTACCAACGGTGTCATGGAGTTCTCCAATGATCCGGAGAATGATGTAACGTTCGGGTTCTGGTATCGGTGTTACAAAGACCTGTTCCGAGTCGATCTCGCGTCCCAGGACGACGCATGGAATGTCAGACTCCCTACCCGCAAACTGGGCCTAGCTGAACCGGAGAGATACACAGACACGATTCTCCTCAAGTCATCACTCGACTTCACTTTTGGAAAAACCGTTCAAAACCTCAATCGGATGTTTAAAGAATGCACCTATTTGTTCAGTATCCGGTACAAATGCCTCAAACTCCCAACAGGAGAGTTTGATGACTTCCTTGACCATCTAGCAGTGGTCAATCGAGAGTGCGAGAAAAATCAGTTCAAATCAATGACTGATGACCAGCTCAAAACTCTCATTCTCATTTGCAGCCTTCAAATTCCTACGTACACAGATATGCAAATGTGGCTGCTACGCCTGATTGATCAAAATCCCTCTATGACGCTGGACAATATTCTCGATGACTGAAGTCAATACGGTCCACCGTATCCAAAAACCACCTCCAACGTCTGGCCCTCCCAGACCTCCTCAGCCAAAATCGGACGGAGAATCAATCAGCACAAGTTGTCGAAGAAAAACATGGGGCACCCTTCCTTCCGCTTGTTGCCACTGTGGAGCCTGTCATTATGTCAAGTTCTGCCCTTGCAAGCAGCACCGATGCCAGTAATGCAAAGCTAAGGGCCACAAGGACGGACTCTGCCAATCATCTCTATCCAGCAGGAGTGGATGACACCCCCACCTCCACACAATGAAAAGGTCAAAAGCCAAACCAGCCAGCCCCACCATCTCATCTCTCAGCCTACGAGTCACCTCCGAAGACACTTCACAGCAGCAGAGGATGTATACAACCTTCCTCATCAATGGCCATCCAGTTCGTCTGTAGCTAGACAGCCTCGGGTGTTACCATCATCTCGGAAACCCAATAACGCTCCATCGGGAGTCTTCCACTCAGGGACACCTCTGAAACGGCAATCAGTGACTGCGGTGGTGAAATTCACTTCAGTGGCCAAATGCAATGCTGTGTGTCCTTCCACGGAACAACCTTTAGTGGCACATGTTATGTCCTCAACGCCAACCTGAACATCCTTGGTCTGGATTGGTTCAAACAATTTGGTTTGGCCGATGTCCCGATCAGCTCCACCTGCAATGCCCTACACTTGTCAACAAACCTTGCGGAAATACTGCGAACATCATCAACCAGTTCACCACAGTTTTTCAACCTGAATTGGGACACTTCTACGACACAGGTCACCCTTCGCCTTATGCCGGACGCCAAACCGGTCTTCCGTCCGAAAAGATCGGTCCCATATGCATCGTTACCGCTGGTTGATGCTGAGTTAGAACGTCTTGAACACGAAGGCGTCCTGTCGTCGGTCCCATACTCAGCCTGGGCGGCCCTAATCGTTGTGGTAAAGAAGGCCAATGGTTCAATCGGCATATGCGCAGACTTCTCCACTGGTCTAAATGCAGCTCTGTAACCATGCCATTATCCTCCACTAGCCCCAGAGGACCTATTCACAATTCTGAGTGGTTGAAGATACTTCGCAAAACTCGACCTGGCCGATGCCTACTTACAACCAGAAGTCGCTCCAGAGTCCCACCCACTGCTGACCATTAATACCCGTCGCGGTTTATTCCAATACGGCCGTCTACCATTCGGTGTCAGCAAATCATTGACACTATTCTGGCCGGCATTCTTGGGGCGGCAGCATACCTTGGTGACCTACTAATCGTAGCTAGTTCGCGGGATGAGTTACGCAAGCGGATCGAAGAAGTCCTCCAACGGATTCAGGACAACAGGCTTGTCAAGAAAAATGCGAGTTCTTCTTGACTTCAGTCAAGTATCTGGGTTTTATCTTTGACGCCTCTGGCCGGCATCCGGATCCTGAGAGTATCCGCGCTATTCAACAAATGCCGACCCCCAAAGATGTTCCCTCACTGTGCTCCCTCCACCGTCGATGCACAATGCCCGACCACCTCTGAGTCACTTGCTTGGAAAGGACGTACCTTGGGTTTGGTCCAACGAGTGCAAGGCGGCCTTCTGTCAACTCAAATCAATGATCAGTTCGGACCTGCTGCTGACCCATTATGATCCAAGTCTACCAATTGTTGCAGCTGACGCCTCCGCCAAGAGCATCGGAGCCGTCATCGTCCATGTTTTTCCCGGCGGCACAGAAAAGGCCATAATGCACGCATCCAGGTCGCTGACAACGACAGAACAGCGTTACGGACAGATTGAGAAAGAAGCTCTCGCTTTGGTTTTCGCTTTCCGCCATTTCCATAAATTAATTTATGACCGAAAATTCACGCTGCTGACAGACCACAAGCCGCTGCCGTCAATTTTTTGATCAAAAATAGGCATCCCAGCTCACTCCGCGAACCGACTGCAAAGGTGGGCGCTCATTCGACTGGGCTATGACTTCGAAATCCAGTACCGTCGCACAGAGGATGTTGGGCAGGCAGACGCCCTATCACGGCTCATCAGTAACCAGTCCACCACCAAGGAAGATGCCGTCATCGCCGCCATCTACTTTGACGAAGGTATCACACAACAGATATCTCAGATAGTTCGTGTGCTGCCGGTTTCAATTCTTGACATCAAACAGGAAACGGCCTCGGACAACGCACTACGGCAGGCTATCCGTTACGTTCAAGGCAAATGGCCAAAACGCTCCCCCAACGGAGATCTTCAGCAGTTGTTCCAGCGACGCGATTCCCTCTACTTTATAGATGGCTGCTTGATGTTCGGAGAACGCGTTGTGGTGTCTAAACCACTACGCTTGCAGGTTCTTCATCAATTTAATACTGGTCATCCCGACATCGGTCACATGAAGTCTATCGCCCGCAGCTGCACCTACTGGCCAAATATAGACCAGCAAATCGTAGACCTAGTCAAGAGTTGTCGCCAATGCCAGCAGGCCGCCAAGAACCCTCCCAAGGTTCATTCAGTCCTTTGGCCACAACCGCAAGATCCCTGGTCATGGATCCAAATCGACTTTGTGGGACCGATCAACGGAATCTCGTATCTTGTGCTGATGGGCGCCTACTCAAAATGGCCGGAAATCGTCCCAATGACTTCCCCCACAACAACGAGGACACTACAGACTCTGTCCCAGATTTTCAGCCGCCATGAGATTCCGGAAACCATTGTCTCAGACAGCGGATCACAGTTCACATCTCAACAATTCAAGGAATTCTGTCGACAGCATGCTATTACACACATGCATTCCCCACCCTACCACCCACAGTCAAACTGACAGGCGGAAGGGTTCGTCGACACATTGAAGCTAGCCCTGCTAATATCTCATGGGAAAGGAACGACGTCCGTCGAAAGTCTAAAGAATTTTCTGCTGGTGTATCGTACAACACCAAACAAGGCTCTACCAAATCGACAGTCGCCATCTGAGACACACATGGGTCGCGAATTGCGGACAACAAATTCCGCTATGATTCCGGTACAAGATAACCGCCCGGAGCCTCCGAGTACGAAATATACCACTCCATTTGAGATTGGAACAGCCTGTACGTTCGAAACTATCGACCAAGGCACGACTCATGGATCGAAGGGACGATTGCACGCCGACACGGCAAGGTCATGTTCGACGTGACGGTGGGTCACGACACGTAGTCAAGGCATCGCAACCAACTCCGATTGAGAAAAGATTCCGTGACACCAAATCGCCAGACCGGCGTCCCACAGGATGTGCTTTTCGACACTTTCCAGCTACCGCCACCGATAGCAACGCTAGTGAAACCGAACAGAGGTCAACTATCAGCAGACAGGTCTTCACCCCCAAGGTAGAGTTGTCGAAAACGACGGAAACCAAGACTACCCCAAGTCGACCCAAAGAAGAAGCATTACTAGCTTTTCAAGGAGGAGAGGTGTTGGGGATCCACGATTCCCAAAGATTGCTCATCGCTGGTTCCTGGCACAATTTACACCGATTCACTAGCGTGTGTTTTATTACACTTTTTTTAAAATAAATTCAAGGTCAACCCCGACTTGAATTAGTTTCCCTTTCGACAATCGACTTCGGACGTGGCTGACGTGAATAAAGCTCTCTACATGAGCTCCGGTCTTGTTTTTGTATTAACGTGCGAAGGTCGGTGTTAACGTCAACAAGGGATCTGGTACCGTTATTTGAGTGGCTTTCTCTTTGTTACGGCCAAACGTAACAATTTTACAGTTTCTTAAATAATTGAGGAATCCTGGTTCTAATAGATTTTGCATCATCGCGCTTGTGAATGACGTCAATTCGATTCAATAGCCCTGGACATTTTTAAAAACAAGTGAGTTTCAGTCTACCAAGATATTCGCATTTGTATTCAGGATTCCAGTTTTCTTGGTGGTCCGATTTACGCATGTCTTCATCACACTGGAATTGACGGTTTTTTGAATCGAGGGTCAGCTTCCAATGTGGCTGATGTTCGGCGTCAAAATGCTAATAGTCAATTTTTCATGTGTGTTGGTGAATGGAGCTCACTTTGGATGTCGGGTAATACCGCAGATTTTTATATTCAAATGAAGGTTAACAGAAAGCAAAAACTACTTTTCAAATCACTGCATATGGTTATTTTAAGCACCACTAAATAATGCACCATTAACGTTTAGTATTTTGTTAATTATATAAAGTTCTGTTTGATTGAACTCGATGTTTTTTTAATAAATCGTCTAGATTTCGATAGGTCTCAAGGATCAACTTCAGTGTTCTTGTACTTCTAAACCAGTGCCAGCATATTTTGGCACCCTAGGAACTTACAATTAAGGATTTGAAGGCGGTGGTGTAGATTTTTACCCTGCTTGAACGAAAGCATCATCAGATATCCAAAAGGAACGCTCCACACTTAAGTTCGTGCAACAGTTTTCGTCAAGTATTGTATGTGATTTTTGTGTTGGTTTTGTAGCAGTAACTAAAGTCACCGAACGTCAGAGGTAGCAAATTATGTGAATCTCTAATATAAAAATTAAAAAGAACAGGTTCTAATATATTCTTGAGGGAACAGTGGAAATTCGGATTTTGTTCGGTGTCTAGTTGCCTGTGTTGGAAGTTTGTGTGCCTAAATTTAGCTAGTACAGATTTGGGCTAGAAATCCGTATTTTCATTCAGATTGATCTACAATTACTACAAAAAACCCTGCTGAGACGACCTGGATCGAAAGTCCAGCAAGAGGTCAGAAATCTACAACTGAGATGGACTACAAAAACCCTCCATTTGTGTAAACACCAAAGCATAATCATGTCAATAAAAGGCAATTATGTGGCATTCCAAGAAACACAAACTAGTCTTTATTTATCACTGAAATGATGTTTTGTGTTGAACTGAAGGATTGTGAACAATGAATTGAAGTATGTTCACGTTAAAACTTATTTTATAAGTAAGCCAAGTATCTAAAATGTATTAGTTACCTGGTACGATAATATCACATTCTCCAATAATTAAGGTTTAGTAAAAAAACTTTAAAAACAAAGCAAATGGTTCGGCATGGGAAAATTGAGGAGACACGAAATTTGCAGGTTATTGGCTTCTACGGAATGTGTCTTTACAACTAAGAAACCATTTCAGGTCACTTATGTATTTAAACTAGTAGTAATAGGGCCAAATATCTAACAGTCCATTATTTTAAATCGGATTCCTACTGATTGCTGTTTACAATTTGGTCCCTGAACGAGCAATAATTATGCTGATTGCTGTTTGAAGAAGACAAAGTGGTAAAGTTTGTGAACAAAAGACGTTTTTAACGGTTTCGTTATTAAGACGGATTGACACGCCGAACCCGCAAAAAAAGGAAGACAATTCAAAACGTTTGAAACACCCATGTTTTCCTGAACACTAAATATTAGGACTGTAAACGACGTAAACAGTGAATGCCAAGCAGTCTATGTATGAAATAACTTAGATGCTTTCTGCTGAGGGACGAAATGAACAGTGCTCTAACGGAAGTCAGTATGGTGAAATAAGAAGTTATGGTGAATAACATGATAAATGTTACAGTGCTTCATTTTTGGTGTCGAAAATAATTTGTTAGCCCGATTTGTACAGGTCGCATAAAGGACATCGCAAACTGGCATCATTTACCTAACAATTGAACTTAAAAATGCATGCCAATGTTTTGCCCCTGGTTTGATTTACTCTGACGTTGAATTTCTGGTACGTACACCATATCGAGCCTTAATGGCTAGTGTAGATGTGTCACCCTGTGTCGTAAGTCGGAAGGGTAATAAGTTGGTCTTGTTTAAACCAAATCGCAATTAAAAGGACACTGAGTGCCAATCAAGACCTTTAGCGTACCAATCTCCGAGGTTGGCTTCAATTCAGTTTCGACCGGATAGAAAAGATAGGGTGCTCTTATGATTATAAAAATTATAAAATGCCCTTCACAATGAATGCTCATGTTAGGCTGAGGAAGTTTACAAGTTACCTGAGGTCATTTTTTAGGGAATTTAGAAGGAAGATAGGGGAAACGGCTAAATACAATGAGAGATTCATTTTAAGCAGTTTTCAAAATAACGGTTTTGATTATCAATGCATGCCTTTGCGGATATCCATTTGACGACGCACGAAGTAACACAATTCGCTTTTCAAAAGTGTTATTAAGGAAAAAAGCAGTGAATTAAGGAGATAAAACTTGCAACACAGTGTAAGAGTAGTTTCTTTAATTTTGAAACAAAAATTGTTTATTATACAAACGAGGTTAATAACTATTTAAAAACTGCTATTCTAACTGCTGCGTTTTACAACCTAGCATCACACTACCGTTTAAACTTATACACTAGGTGATGGTAAAGAATCATCTGATCTGTTTAGGCAATCCAGAAATCACAAGCTTCAATGGAATGATTTTTCTGATAGCACACAATAGTGTAGATCCAAGTATAATTAAAAATATTGTCAGGATTTCTAAGTTCTAGTAAAAAAGGTCACCTAAATTTACATCTTTCAAAGGTTCAGGTTTGTTAGCTGTAATTTCGATTACCCGCTTGTTCGACCCGAAACTAGTCACTAAGGTACATCACAAATCCACGGTTTAAATGCTGCGTTACTAAGTCAGTTTCTCCATACTACCAAACAGGTTGCACTGATGACTACAATGCAGTGAGTATGTGCATAAAGCAGAGGTAATCATGTAATTCATTTAAATATCGCAGCGAACTTATAATATATGTTAGGTTAACTATATGCGAAATTCTAAATGTTAACGTACAAACACTTGTGTGGCAAGTGTCAGACTTTTGTTGAACGCAGTTTGAGAAACAAGCACGGCGTGAGAATGATTTCATCTTCGCAAAGTGCGTTTTGGGGCTACAACAATCAACACCTGAGAAACCCATATGCATTCGCTTTGTTATTGGTTGTCACCACGACTTTTTAGACCATTTAGCGAGGCTAAACAGTTGTCGTCCTGTGTCACCGTCGCAACCCCAACACCTCGTGCACGCCACCCCTCGAAAGCCAAGCGGTGTCCACACGCGGATGCAACCTCGCCTTCGTAAGTGCGGACGTGAAACCCAGTGAACACGGATAGTCGTGCCTCCATGCGCGTGTGGGTGGCAGATGGCTGAACGAGGGAGGAAATTTCGTGCGACGACAGATGGCAGCGTAAGTAGTCGATTTCGGTCGTCTCCCGTATTGGAGAATCAATTTACTATCTTCGTGCGACGTGGCCGCGGTGACGTGCATCGTAACCCTGCCCACAGTTGAGGACCAAAACTGGTCGATGTGTGGCGGGAGGGCGGGATTGGTATGTTTAGGAGGTCGTGGCTGTAGTGAGTCAGAGCCACCCAAAAATGATAAGCAACGTAAACCTTGTCTTAACCAGCTGACTAATCTCGAGATTGCTTCTCTCAATCGTGCCAGTGCGCTAAGTTTGCCAGAATTGACTAACATAAATGGCGTTCTTAACTATTTTGAAGTTTTACCTATATAATTGTTGTTTCCTTCACACTAATGTTTGGTCATAATTGCTAAATGCACTATATCCCATTCATGACCGGGATACGAATGACTGGTTCTGGTATAATGGGCGTAAAAAGGAGTTGGACCTTATCGATTTTGGTGGCCCCAGTACACGTGCCTCCTAATTGGTCTAAGGACAACTCAATTTTTTACTGACAACTGTTATCAGTATTCGGGTAAACAGGTAATTTGACTGGAATATTCCAACGTTGGAAATGACGAATTCTTGTGGATTGCTTTCACCGTTAAAGGATCAGATGGTAGGTAAGGATAGAATTATGTAAAAGATGAAATGTAAGAAACTCAACCTGCTTCATTTTATGTGAGTATTTGCAGTGTAAAGACCAAACCTGGAAACGACTCATTAATATTTGGCAAGTATTCATTGAGAAAAAGTCAACAAACTTGGAACGTTTCAAATTTGGATTTCCAGTCAAAGGGATGGAGTTAAAGCTTGGGAGACTGTGAACAAAGTTCCTCGTTGTTTCAACATAAAAGTAATCTGGACGACGACTGACGACTTGTGCCATAAGGTGAGCTTACACAGCAGACGGCGTGAGAGTCGACAGCTGTTCAGTTAAGTCAACGGATGTGCTCTCGACCCTCCTGAAAATCAGTCAACTGTGAAGGGGGCGAGTAAGAGACTTAGCAACGATCCCACGAAGACCCCTCTCCCGTCATCATAAATTACTGGTTTGCGTGATTGCGTGAATGTGCTTTGCGTAAAAACACTGAAAGATGTAAAAATGCTGGGAAGGTTTTGTTTATTCTTAATCTGTTCTACTTTAAATAAATTTTGAACGTTTGTCAAAGCTTTATCTGCCATTTGCTAGGGTTAAGGATATGCCAGGGTATCATCGCAAACTATGTCAAAGGTCTTACTGTACGATTAATAAATTAGCGAATACCCTTAGCTCAAGAACAAACTACCAAGCTAACAGATGGGTCTGCTTTTATGTAATTTTTCATGGTTGCAGCATCCAGCACTTGAAAAGACTGATCCAAAATTTTGTCTTCAAAGTTTTGTTCATTAATGCAAAATAAACTGTTTGGTCAGAGGGGTCAGTGTTCGTGGGTTGAGCAGAGACGAATTTTGAAATCCAGATTGTGTGATCAATAGGTCGGGACATGATTTCAGTTCGTCGAACCACGAAGGGTAGCAGTTTCATTTGCTTGCATTTTAGCTTTGATTACCTGGAGTTGAGAATAAAAGGCCCTGTAGTTCTAGTCAGACATACGAGGTCCTTCGAAGTAGGTGCTATTGTGGCCTACCCGGCTAAACCCGAATTTGACCGGCTCTTTTTGCCCTGTGCCGATTCGTAAAAGGGGAGTCCGATGGTTTACGAGCGGAATAGTCATTCAGTTTTCTGAAATATTAGCCATTGGCTCCGAGCATCTTTATAAATAAAAAAACGATGTATTCACCCGTAATGAATATAGTGAATTAAAAAACACTCCCGTCTTTTGGTCTGGTGGTGTGGTTGCCAGTACAAGTAGAGACCAGTTAAATTGAGAGGACAGTCACCAGTAATATGAAAGCGAAACCGTAATCTTATAAGAATCTATCTGAAAATTTGTTTAAGATCATCCAATTTTAAATCAAAGGAAAAGTTTAATTTATGTCTGCATGAGTACCGTCGAACTCCACCGAACATACTTCAAGACTTGCCAATAAGTACGTGTATGTAATTTGCTGCTCTCTTTAACCGTGAGAAAACATCGAATTTTGCTTGACCCAGCAGTGTTTGTGGAGCAGGAATAATAATTCGTTGTGAGCCATTTACTCAAATGAAAATCTACTTGTTGTTCATACGCTATCAAACATCAGTTCTAGCATATTTTTGCGCCGACAAAACTCAAAGCAAAGAGTGAGCAGATGCTCCGTGGATAGTGACTAACTCGTTGCGATGTTTTAGAGGCACCTCAAACCACACCGACACCGTGGGACCCGCCCTTCATTTCACCACATAAACATTCATGTTAACCCTTCGAGCATCACTTACCATTTGGCGTTATGCGTTGTGAAGCCAAAGCTAACTGAATCAGCCACAGCAACTAACCGGCTTCCCTCAGACAGACAGACTGGGCCCCCTTTTCGATGACCGCGTGAGCATTTTTCTAAGACGAGGAAAGTGGTATCCTTGCCTCCACACATAAGCCTCATTTTGGATAAATTATAATTTGCTCTATTCCAACCGTTCGAAGAGTCGAAGTTTCTATTCTCCAGTCTGCGTTGAGTCAGGTGATAATTTGCATTTAATGAAAGCAATTTAACTCTTAAGTACTGGGAATAAGGTTCACAGGTAGCCTATTGGGATTGTTCACTTTCTCATGATACCAGCGGTAAGCGTTTGGGCTCGTGTGCATTGGCATCAGCTAAGGTTTCGTGAATTCGCCATGTTGCAAACTGCAGCAAGAGACATGTGCTAAGACAGGGTGTGCGGATGAAAGATGAGAAGTGTGCTGGGCTGGTCGCATGATTTTGGAGTAATTCAAGGGGAAATTCAAGCAGTTTAACAGAAGTTAAATTAAGTAACATACAGGTAACAGCTAGATGTCTTAATTCTTGAAAAGCAAACGGATATTTGAGCAAATATTTTTAGGCATTCAGTGGTTTCACAGCAAAAATGCTACATTTTCATGCATCTTAAACTTATTCTTTTCATCACAATGAAGACTTTAAGAATACCTACATAATTGTTTTCCTGTAGAGCGACCGAAATAAACTATCTTCGCCTAGGCAAACGTGCGGATTCATGCCGTAGAAGTAGCAAACGGACTTCAGAGGCTACGAGAAAATGCAGTTCACACGTGACATCGAGATCCAGCTGCTCCTTTTACGTCAAATACGCTTTTTCTTTTAATCAGAAACTCGATTTTGAATTATGGGAGATTCTTTATCCACATTTCCGAGTCACGCTTGTTTGGCAATGATGCTCCTCCTAAAGCACGGATTCGACTAAATAGTTGATGACAACCACTTTACCCATGGTAATGCCTCAACAGTCTATATATGAGGCACCAAACGAGTAGAAGTCTCAACTTTTGAGGATGGAACAATTTCACCGCCAGTTTTGCTCCTTGGTTAACATTCGCTTTTGCTTATTACGGATAAAACAATGGACTCCTAAGTAATAAAAATCACGGTTTTCTAACCTATTTTGCCGTTACTAATTGATGTGGTCTGCGAAGCCACAACATGGGAGTGGCGATTAGTTTCCTTATGAAACCTGTTTCTACTTAATTAGCTACTACTTTTATTTTAAATTTGAAACAGCAGTTCAACCAAGGTTATGGAACTAACTGGATCCAATATCAGTGTGATATGATACCTACATTGTTTTTACTTTTGCGTATGGGTTAGAAACGCATGATTTTACACAAAATAGCCCTTTTGGTGCACATTTAAGAAATAATGCAGCACTGGCCTGGCAAATTATTATCCTCATATTTCCCTAACACCGCTAATTCCAGAGAACAGGAATGGTGGTGAAAATGCGACACGGTGAGGTAGATAAACCGCAAGGCAGGTGGTGTGTCATGTTGTGCATATAATTGAGTGCAAATAATATTTGTATAGTAGATGAGGATCACTAAAGGTCAGAGAGATTTACACGCGACGCATTTTCAAACTGGTCCGCATTAACACTTGGGTGTTGGTGAATGTAAGCAAGCCACCAATTACAAGGCAGATAACCCTCCAAATTATTAGCTGCAGACCCCAGTCTATCAAAGCTTTCTGTCGATTTGTACACAGGCTTCAGAGAACATACTGCATACATCTAAAACGCTTGTTTTATAAAAGACATTCTTTCTAATATTTAAGTACAAAACAATACGGGATAAAATAAGTCGCTACTAGAAATGTGAAAGAAAACATGCACGGATTATGATTGGTCAGTAGGTGGGGAGGTGGGGGTTCCCTGGGTTAGTGAACTTCGGGCCTTGGGTCGCTTGGGGTGTCGCGACCGACTTTTGGTCTTGCACATGGGGCAGATTGGGGCATTGCGGTGGATAAGCTGCTGGCATGCTTGACAGGCTTTCATGGGGGGCTGCTGTTGGGAAGGTGGCGGAAGTGCAGGGTAGACACCCGACTGGGACAGCTCGTCCAGACGAAAAGGCTGAGTAGACGACCGCATCCGGTTTTCGGCTAGTTTAATTTACGTGGGGGTGTACAGTACGATAGCAATGAATACCCCAAATAATTTAGCTACTTTAATAGTCGTAGGCATCTGTGATGCATACAAGTTTAGGCTGCTTCATGGAACACGTTTCATAATGCAAACATCACACTACTCTATTTGTATGAAACGGGGCGGCGTCTCAGTCATTTACCGACCAATGTTGGGAATTCGTACCGGTCACCACCGACACGTTGAGGTTTTAAGGAACGAAACCGTATCAAAGTGAATTGTTGTCGAAATTTAAAAGAAGATTCATGACCCTTGGAAATCAAGCAAAATACGTGTGTCCAGTTAGTCATAAATGTTAGGGAAAAGTAGGAGTTATTGAGCAATAATCAAATGTGAAATTGTGCTAGCCTGTTGTGTCATAAAAAATAACAGACTTAAAGATGAAAATCTTAAATCAGATGGGTGAATTCACCAGATAAATCAAGCAGAACAGTTTGATGATAGGGGATGAAGCGAACATCAAAGGTAAAAAGCTATAATGCTCGTGATTAGTTTCAGTAGGAACGGATGTAATTACGAAAAACGCACAGTTTATTACACTATAAAAAGAATTGAAGTACGGTTTGTAAAATAAGGAAGACAAATAGGGAAAACATGAGCAGTTCTGCCGAGGTGTAAAGTGACAAAAAAGGTCAGTATCATCTTTTTGGAAATAGTTATTCAAAAAAAAGTTGAAATATAGTTCAGATTGTGCACAACAAGCTGAAAACAAAATCCTGGATAAGTTTCGACACAAGAATAGACATTTGTACGTTCATACCAAATCATGTGCAGAGCTAGGATAAGAAAAGCTAGCTTTTAATAACTTTCCGCACTCTGGCAGTAACCGTGGGGTATTTTTTGGCATCCATCAAAGCAAGTGTCCACATTGAGGACGTATCATTATTTTTCCCACAAAAGTCCCCAACTAATTTTGAAATCTCGAATTCACATGGCGCACACTAATTCTACTCTGCGTGACTGCCTCCTAATTACTCGGCCCCACCGACGGCACAGATTGCATTAAAAAGCCCATTTAAAATTACCGCCATCTCTTGAATTAGTCAACAGCATATTAACTCACGGGCTACGTGTGTTTGTAATTAGTAATTCTGAAAGAATTTATAACGGTACACCACGATCATTGCAAAATTTCACAGATCTCTCGTCCGCTGGATGAATATTATCTGCTGAAAAGATCCCGAAGAGCTATAAAGTGTTTATGGCCATGAGGTTTCCAAAAATAAATTATACGTCCAATAACTTCCTAAACTAAATCAAAGTGGAGAGGTTCTAACCATCTTGCGACATAACTTGCAGAGGTCTTAGCAAAGTGGAATTCACTGACACACTAGAGGTTAATATTTATGGATTGACTCAGCGTTAGCTACCCAAAATGAAATGTAGTATGGTCCGGTTTATAAAAATCCTAAGCTGGAAATCTGGGCATCCTTAAATCAAAAGCTAACTTGCAATCAACAAAAATACACATTTTTAGTAAGTATTGTGATGTTTTATGTTGACTAAACTATATGAACATGAAAAAAGCTCAAAAATATCCAAAGCCTTGAAGTTGCAAAAACATTTATGGTTGTTTTCATCTGAGTGGCAAATTAGCAAAAAATTAGCCACACAAACTGGACCTCCAACCCGGTGGGACTTACACTGGGCCAACAAGGGCTGATATTCAACAACAAAGTCCCCAATAACAATGCACAAAGATTCTAGATGGCGTAGCAAGACGTACCATTACGCAAATCAGTTTGCAATAATTCATTCAGTTCACCAAACTCGGACCCACACTGTTTTGTCCAACAAGGGTCGTTTTGATGGAGGGATGACAGCCAAGCAGCTACATGCTCCTGATGAATATAGGAGTGCTGTGGTGATTTAAGACACTCCAATGCCGGGGGGCCACCAGGGGTATCAGATACAGTGACCTGGAGGGGAGTCACTGACTTCGACGCTGGAGGGTGAATTAGTGCAGCGGTCTCGGGACTGCGTTTATCTTCCAAATTTAGGAGTCCTAAGCTCGCCCGAATACTATTAACCTCCACAAGAAGTTCGCTGTAGTCATTGAAAAGCTTTTGAGCCATTTTAAGGGTTTTCATTTTGTCAGATTTGGCTTCAAGAATGGTTTGTTCAACCTTTGTAAAAATGCAGAAAAAATTTAATTGTACTTTAGTTCTAACCTAGGGTTTAACAGGTCTACATAGATCTCCTCCTCAATCCAGTCAACTGGATGGGAATTTCTCCATTTTGAAAGTAAGCCTAAACACTTTGAGTACAGTTGAATTTAAAGCAAGCTGGAAACTAGAAGATATTTGAAGTAATAAATCAAACCTGAATTAAGCATTAATAAATTATGTAATGGTTTGCATTACAGTACTTCTCTTGTGATAGTGTTATTTAGTGGCAGTTTTTTATTCTATTTACTTATTTCCTGAGTTACCGGCAGCCATTTACTAAGAGGTAGTTTCATAAGACTATAGCATGGTTTATTGAAAATGATTGTATGAGGCCCACTTACAGAAACACCAAAGCATTTTAGGGGAATAAAAATGAATTTTACGGATAATGAAAATAAATTGTAAATTAGTGCGGCCAGTGGGCTCAAGCAATTAGCAATGTGGTGATAGTTTCAGGAGATGATAATAGACCATTTTATTGCTTGGACCATATATCGTGTTAATGAATAGTCCAAAGAGGAAAAATTAGGTGATAATTCCGACTGTTAAACAGAGGCAAAAGTCCAAGTACAATTCACCAAGTCAAACCATCCAGTTTAAAAATTATAAATGGTTTGTGTTGGTCCAAAACTGTTAACTCTTCGTGGATACTGAAAAGCAAATTCGGGAAACTGGACAGCAAGTTCCCCAGAGACCAAGGACTGGTGTGCAACAAGTCTATTGGTATATTATCAATATATGCACTATAATCGTATTGGTATGTACAACATGTGATTATTGGATAACATCGTTTATTCCCTTTACAAGTATCAAGCTTGAATAAATGCAATTTGAAAAAGAAGTTATGTGCATTCATTTCAAAAGAGGTATAATTTGAGTATTACAGTAATTACATGCTTAAATATCGACACGTGTAGTCAATGCGCAACCTTAGGGTTAAACAGACTTTTCTGTAAACATTTAGGTGCTTACTTTATATTCGTTATGAACATTATAAAACGTTACCAATTATGGAAGAAAGGAACCGAGAAAGGAGACGAAGTGCTTAGCAGCAACAACTGCCAATTTAGTGCTGGTATGGGGGCAGAAAATTTTACTATGCTTAAACCAATTCATACAAATTCAAAAAAGATTTCTACAAAATGGAACGATGGTATTCCATTAGAAAAGAAGTGAGTTGTACACATCGCATATGAAACAGCCATTACGTACCGTAGCAAGGTCATTGTCGATAATATGAAGTTGCTCCAAATGGTAGGCCTTTTCTCTAAGAAGCAACTCTAATTCTGACTCATACTCATTGATATGTAGGGTTTCTTTGGCAAAGAAACCAACAGCATCAGCAAGATTGCTTGACACTTCTGAAAGCTGCCTTGACTTTTCCCTTAAATACAAAAATTCAAAAACATTAGCCCCCCATACTACCTGGTTTTTTTGATTGCCTCTAACTTGAAGAGTCCATCGTCCGTAGCAGACATCGTCGAGAAAAGCTGATTTATCCAATTAGCCAGCAACTTCAGGTTCGTTGAAAACAATATAAATTAGCATGGTAAAACGATATTAAGAGTAATTATTGCTAGTGATTTGCAAAAAAAAACATTTACAACACGCGTTAGTTGACTAATTGCTTTCTAAATAATAAAGGTAAAAAAAATAAACTCTCCAAACTTTCACTAGCTTTAGAGACTGTACATTGTGACGCTTTCTGCAATGAGTAATTTTAGACACAATAAGCTAGAGAAAGTAACCTGGATGACCGAAAAATGGTCTTCCTTAAATTAATTTACTTTTAGGTTGGATTAAAGGACTACAATGCTCTGAATTAAATGTTGATTTGTTTAATATGCGCAACAAATTGTGCCCTAAAATATGAAAAAAAATTCCTACTAGATCCAAACAAATAATTCGACTGGCGTACTTATCTTGATGCAAAGGGTTTAATTCAACAATATTAGGTCTTAAAAGAAATTATCTTAAATTGGCCTATTTTAATGGTGTTATGTTGTGCGATTAAATGTCAGGGAAAACACCTACAATTACTTTTAATTTCTAATTCTTTAATGTTTTTATGTTAATAAAAAAAAATGCAAAACCGCTTCTTAATTTACGTAATATAAAACGAAATTTAATTTCTTTACGTTTATTATTCACTAACCACTTTCCACTTAGTGGACTGAAATTGCCTTAAAATAGTGATCGGGAAGACTTTTTCTTCAAAATTTCCCCTCCACAAACGGACCATTGAACACTCGTTATGAAAGAGGATGGTTAGGAACACAAATGCAATGGTTTTTATACGATGGACGTTAGAATTAGTGCATTGCAGTTTAAAATTTCAAAAGAATATATAATTAGCACAAATTAAACAAGAATTACTCTGCATAGTAACTACATCAGGGGAATAAATTTTGACAGTTTAGAACTTGAACCGCTAATTCAGCCTTTTTAATTAATCATGTTATTTCGTAGTAAGGGTAATTTTGCTGGTCGGTTCTTTATAAAGTATAATGAAATTTTGGCGTCATTTCATGCACGCACACGTTGGTTATTCTGCGCCACGTCCACACATTTAAAACCGGAAGAAATACTCGTTGTCGATTCTTACAAGGTCTTGTCAATTCAACGAAAACATTTGCTATTGCAGGTCTCTTTTTCACTTGTATTCGAAGTGACTTACAATTTCCCCATTATTTTGGTGAATTGTTAATGCTGCTTTAGATGTTTTGTCCTAAACTAGGGCGAAATCTCTGAATCCTGTACCTTGAAACATTGGTTAGACTACATGACAAACTGTAGTCGGTATTAGTTGGTCCTCACTTTCGTTGTCTATTGTAGGGGAGGATTCACAGTTTGACCGGCGTTATCCGAACGCAGCCGCTGTCACAAATATAGGTTGCCTCAGCTCTAATATAGAGAAGTCCGGTCCATTAGAGCAGAATTTATTGGCCAACCGCAAACACGCAATGCCCTTCAGAAGACGTCCATCCGCGTAGGCCGTTTAAATCGATCCAAATTGAGGATTGGCTGAGCTTGGCTCGACCCAATATGTCTGCGTTTTAGTACGGCAGGCGTCGCCACCGTAGAATACTCGAGCCATAATAGGAAGAAGACTAGTACAACAGAATAGGCTTTATTGACAAATCACAAGCCACAACCACACGTCAGGCGCCTTCCACCCGAGTCCGCCACGCTAGCCACGCCGCTCATTATATACTGCTCCTCAGTCGTGTCCTTCTCTGGTTGGCTGCTTATCTTCCTCTAATGTCATTGGATCGCAGAGAGACACAGGATTAGCTAAAAGGCCAGGTGGTCCAATATATCTGCGCCCTAATTCAAGGCCACACTGCCTCCCCCTCAGGAGTGAGGCTGCCCTCAGCTTCTGGCTTGGTTCACCGCAATGTTCATGGTTGTCAATATATCCAGTTCAACACTCCACGCACCCCACATCTGGCAGGATAGTGGCCCATGCGAATAGTTGACGAGGGACTTTGCTCTTGTAGACTTGCACGAAAGACTCATCATCCATTGAAGATCCTTCGCAGATGCAGTCCAGCTGGCTTTCACTGTCCAAGTCGTCGTCGCTGAGTTGCCAATGCCTCTTCAGACGCAGGAGTCCTAATCCCGGGCAATGTCTATGGATCCATTTTTTTGGACATCGGATTAACGTCATGACAAATTTGGCTGGCATTTAAGGGTCTTTGCCTGTGTTGACCACTGAAGAGAAAGGGCTGGGGTTCGATTTGCGTTATTCGAACGCATCCGCTGCCACCAATGTAGAATACCCGAGCCCTCATAGGAAAAAAACGGTACAACAGAACAGGCATTACTGACCAATCAGAAGCCAGAGCCACGCGTCAGGCGCCCTCCATCCGAGTCCATTACGCTGGCCACGCCGCTCATTATATACTACTCCTCAGC